TCTTCCTATAGGAGAGTCCAATATAATATTACAAAATAAGAAGTACTTAAGAAATCTATCTGAAACAATAGCCTTAATGGTCTCCCATTACTTACATCCACAGAACTGTTTGAAAATACAAGACTCTGCAGCCCAGGATCTCTCATAATTCTGCTATGTATGAGCTAGTCGCCTCCTGTGTGCCGTTCCGGAGGCAGTTCAAACTGCAGCACTCCACCAACCCCCTTTCTCTGGCTGCCATCAGATTTTCTGCTTCCCTGGCAGCAGTCAGTTGCGGTTCTCTTTTCCTCTGACCTTTCCTTTGCCTTTTTATTTTCTTTGTTTTCAGGTAGCGGTGAACAGCCTTCTTTGTTTTTCTTCTCCTTCTCTTGGACCAGGTATTCAGCAGTGCAGCGGTGAAACTGCACGGAGTCTCTGCTTCACTGCCACCCTGCTGAGATCTTCTGCCCCCTTTCAGGGATGGCAGAGCAGCCACCCAAATACAGAGCTCAGCCCAGAACTTTAACGGGCTCCATGGAGGGTGAATTACACCCTGTCTAATCTAGCAGTGCAAGGGTCAGCCAGCTTAGGGCACGGAGCATTTAGCCAGACACACATGTTGGGACCTGATCTCCCCAGGAAGCGGTGACTCTACCACAGAAAATCCTTATGAGGAAACCTAAAACAGAACTGGGAGAGGCTCTAAGGACCAGGAGGACTTCATTCTGCCAGCCCAGGGCAATTCAAAATCAGGATAAGTCTGTAGCAGGGCTACTGTTCCCACCTCACCCCCACACCTCAGTCCTGAAATGGGTCCTCAATACTTTGAGGAAAGAATCTGGGCTCATAATCAGCCCCCTTCCCTCCCAGCTTGAGTCAGGAAACTCTGGCAATGAGTCCCCATCCCCCAGCTTGGGGGAGTGGGAGCCTATGGGGGAGGACTCCAAGGGAGAAGTTTCCAGTATGGTCAAGGGCCTATGCAAGGCTAGCCGCAAAAGACTCTGCCCAGGGCATAGCTGCGTGGTCATGCCTGAAAAGCATGTGCCCCCCTGCTCTTCTCCCCTCCCATCTCCCGAAAAAGTAAAGAACAAAAAGGATAAGAAAAAGCCCCAAAAGTATTTTGTCCTCCTTCTCTACCAAGGAAGGAGAGCTATCAGACTTAGTTTCTGAGCAGGACACAGATAAAATGCAACAAAGGTTTTGTTTTGTTTTGTGTCCCTCCCCTGCCCCCCGAGAAGTTTGAAGCCGCGTGGAAAAAGTTGTCTCCGCTATACAGATCCAACCTAAGCAGGGCCATGAGGACAAGCTTCAGAGTAAATACTGCCTGCTAAATCTTCTCTATGCTCCAGTATGTGCCATTTGAGGAGGTAATGAGGGAGGAGTGGGAAGCCCCTGAAAAGGGTAATCACTAAAGTACATGCTCAAATTGTACAAGATCCGGGAGTCAAAAAATGCTGTCACTGACATGCCTAAAGTCAATGCTGCAGTAGCATCTCTAGCAAGGGATATGGTTATTCCATCCAAAGAAGACTTCCTTCCTAAGCATTTGATGGATAGGAAGGTGGACGCCACCCTCAGAAGGGACATCAGTGCTTCCCCAGACACTCTCGGAGCATCTCTGGCAGCCACTTGCTTTGCTCGAGCCGTAGTGCCATGGCTGGAATAATGTAAAGCTCTTAAGGGCAAAAACCAAACCAACTTTGTCTATACTTATGAAAATCTCCATAGCAACAGCATTTGTGGCAATGTGTCAATTGATGCTATGCAGTTTTGGGCCGGGGCCATGGCATTGAGCTCTGCGGCCACGAGGCATGGCTTCTTCTCTGTAAAGTAATTACTCTCTTCAAACAAGCCCTTTGCTTCTCTAAATTCACAGGATCTCTCCTCATTGGAGAAAAGTTGGATAAGATAGCTGCATTTTCAACCACTAAAACCAATCAATCCTCCCTTCTCCACTTAGTGCTCTAAGAAGGGACTACAAACCCACATGCAGACAGAGACATTTCTTTCATTCATTTTCTTTATGGAGGTTCCAGAGAAAAGACAACAGATATGTAAGGGAAAAACCTTGGAACTGAGGAGTGAGGGGAAAACCCCCATCTTCGGTATCACAATGAGCAAACATACCTTGACCCAGACCTGAGCTTTGGAGACAGGGTGTACTATTTTCAAGACAAATGGTTTAGTTCAATCACAAACAAGTGGATTTGAGAGAGAGCATGCCAGAATTACTACTCTCTTGAGATGAGGACTCCACCACACCCCCTCCTCTAGTTTCCAGTCACCTTGGATCCTGCCAAGCGCAAGTTGTTCCAGAATGAGATCTTCCACCTCTGGACATGTGAGTGATAGGATTTCCCCAAAAGAATGCTTTTCAGGGTTTTACTCTATTTTCTTCACTATTCAGAAGGGCATAGGAAGAATCAGAGCCATCCTTGACTTCAAAAGGCTCAACAAATGGATGAAGAAAACAAAGTTTCAGATGGAGATCCTCGCTTTGATAATGACGTCTGTTTCAAGGGGACTTCCAAACCTCAGTGGATTTGGTAGACGCCTTCATCTAGCAGCCTGGCTATTGAAAGGGAAGTGTTAGGCCGAGCACAGCTATCTTCAGAAGAGATAGAGGACTTAGCTCTCTTCTAGGAGAGCTTGCACTCTAAAAGCCTACTCATCCATTTGGACTAAATTCAGCCTTTGGTGTCAATCGAGCACAGAGCAAACCCAAAAGATCCTGGGTTTGCAGTTATTCTAGACTTCCTTCAAGGGGTGGATAAGGGACTTCAGGTATCAGCCCTCTGTAGCATACTGTTCACAGAATCTTTACGCTCCCTGACCAAGAACCTTCAGGTTTCCAGGCTTCTCAGAGCAGTCAGACTGGTGGTCGGACTGACCTTCGCTAAATGGGATCCACCACTGGTGTTGAAAGCCCTAACCACTCATCCTTTTGAACCCCTGACTTCTGCGTCATGATACTACCTCTCCATCAAAACCTGTTTTCTGGTGGCTATCACATCTGCCCTGTGACTTTCAGAACTGGCAGCCTTAGCTATGCAGAAACCTTACTGCATGTTCACGATGACACGGTGGTGTTAAGAATGCCAGAAATTTTCTTGCCAAAGGTGAACTTTCCTTTCCATGCCTTACGGGAGATTTCCTTCCCTTCATTCTGTCCAAAGCCAAAGCACCCAGCTGTGAAGCTGTGGCACACTTTGGACGTTAGAAGAACACAAAAGATTTACATCAAGCATACAGAGTCCGTGAGGAGGTCAGGCACCCTATTTGTCTCCTTCCAACCAAACTCTAGGACTCAGAATCTTGACGCTCTCCCTTGCTAGATGGATCAGATTGGCTGCATTGTATGCCTCAACAATACATAATGTTCCTGTACCAGAAGGAATCAAGGAGCTCTGCACAATATCTATGGTGACTCATGGGCCAAAAGAGCATATGCTTGCACCACAGAGATCTGCAAAGCAGCAATATGGTCATCAACTAAAACAGGGGTCGGCAACATTTCAGCAGTGGTGTGCCGAATCTTCATTTATACACTCTAATTTAAGGCTTCGCGTGCCAGTAATATATTTTAACACTTTTTTTAGAAGGTCTCTCTCTCAGTCTATAATATATAACCAAACTACTGTTATATGTAAAGGGTGGCCTGCTGGGACTCCAGGCCCGAAAGCAGGATGAGCAAGGGCTGGAAACCAAGATTGGCAGCTGAGGTGAGTGGAGTAGGTGGCTGGTAGGCCTGAGCAGGGCTGGAGGCCTGGACCCTGTCTGCAAGAGAGCCTCCAACCGGAAGCAAGGTGAGTGGAGCTGCGCGGTAGAGACCCCTGCTGGCGAGGGGCCAGCAGCCAGAACCCCAGAGCAGTGACTGGCTCGGCCTGCCGCCACTCTGGGGTTTCTGCCCCCAGCTCCTGCCAGCTGAGGTCTCAGCCCGCTGCCAGCCTGGGGTTCTTTAACGTAGGCCGGCAGCGGGTGCTGAGTGGGACCTGCGGGGACCCGGCTGGCAGGAGCCAGCAGCGGGAACTCCAGAGCGGGGCGAGCTGAGCGGCTCAGCCCGCCGCGGCTCTGGGGTTTTCACCGGCGGCTCCTGCCAGCCAGGGTCTCAGGCCGCTGCCAGCCTGGGGTTCCTTCCCCCCCCAGCCCAGCAGCAGGGGCCGAGTTGGACCTGCTCCCGCAGGAGCCGGCAGCTGGCAGCGGGAACTCCAGAGTGGCGGCGGGGCTGAGCGGCTCAGCCCACGCCGCGTGCCAGGAAAAATCGGCTCGTGCCGTCGGTTGCCGACCCCTGAACTAAAACCTTTATCAGATGCTATAGAATGGACTTTGTCTTCTGCGGAGGGCTCCTTTGGCAGGAAGGTCTTAAAGGTGGTGGTCCAGTAATAACCATGTTGTTTGAGCAATCTTGTAAAAGAGAGAGGTCTTTTTGTTTCCTTTGTGTTTGTTCTGTTATCCCTCTCTGGTCCTGTTCGCTGCTTCGCATGTGTAGCAGAATTGTGGGAGACAGTGGGCTGCAGAACAGAAAATTTCTTACCCAGTAATTTCCTTTCTGCTAGCACCATCTCCCACAATTCTGCCCAACCTGGATGGCTTGTCAGTCAAGGGTCAACACATGCTTTGGATAAGTTATCATATAATCAAGGTCTTCTGTACATAGTTACTTGGCTGGCATTGGAATTACTGTTATTAAATGTGTTTTCTACAAGTTTTTACACAGCTTTGGCACGAATCATCTGGTGGCAAGTCCAGAGAAAAGGGGGAAGTGGTAACTTGAATTGCATATAGGAAGGGAATAGCCCATCCAGTCATTAAAAGGTACTTTAAAAAATACAAAATTACTAGTCTAATTTTTGCATAAAGCATCCTGCCTTTGTCTTCCACCCGCCCTCTTGAGCCTTTCTTACCCATAAAATGAAAATCAGTGAGTGTGCTCTAGTGTTAATGGAAAATTTCTTCCCTCTTATAAAATAAGTGTAAAGCAGAAGCATATCTTTCATAATACAGTGTTTCTCCGGTCTTAGGTACAAACAGATATTTCAGGAAGGTAGCCTCCAAAATGGGTTTGAAGATTACTTTTGTTGACTGTAGCAAATTGGAATGCCTGGAGGCTGCAATCACACCAGATACAAAGGTAATGGAAGAATACTCCTGAATTCCATTTGCAGTGTGTCTTGAATGATTTTTGTTTTGTTCCTTTACAAATGCTGTTTTTACTATAGGAGCGTAGGAGTTCTTAGGACAGGCTTTTATTTATGGCAGAAAGCATAAACACAGATCTTAAAAGTTCTGAAGTCTCTTCTTGGGAATGCTCTGCATTTGGGTGGCAAATTCAGAACACTTCAGGGGCCACATAGAGAGGGACTTTTTTTTTTTATTGGGCTAGTAATAAAGGTTTGTTCAAAGGTGAATGTTGTAAAGGGGCTTCTGGGTTGAGGAGGGAAGGTTTTGCTGTTGACTCTGTTAATGGTTAAAGGCTGCTTTTTCATGGGGTTCTTTTTTAGTAATTACACTTTTCACAGCTGGATAGGAACATGGCATTTGGCAAACTAATATTAAATACAGCTAATGATTTTTAAGAGCTTTTCTTAAAAAATGAAAAAAAATTCACTATTATATTGGTAAAGCTGTTGCTAAAGAAATTCTAAGGCTGGGTCTACACTACCCGCCTGAATCGGCGGGTAGAAATCGACCTCTCGGGGATCGATTTATCGCGTCCCGTTGGGACGCGACAATCGATTCCCGAATCGATGCTCTTACTCCACCAGTGGAGGTGGGAGTAAGCGCCGTCGACGGGAAGCCATAGAGGTCGATTTTGCCGCTGTCCCTACAGCGGGGTAAGTCGGCTGCGATACGTCGAATTCAGCTACGCTGATGTGTGTGTAGATGTAGCCTAAGAAAGGAGGGTGCATGTGTGAGTGAGATCCATAGCATCAGGCCCAGATGTAAGTATGTGAGGCTCAGTCTGTCGCACTCTTCAGAATATATGCAAAAGAAGAAAAGGAAGAAGTGTCCTTTTAAAAAGAAAGTTATAGGTGATGGTACCTGTAAATTACACAATGTATCTAAAACTAATGATTTCTGTTTGTTGAAAAATTACAGCTTGTTTGGCTTGAAACTCCCACAAATCCCACCCTGAAGGTCATTGATATTCAAGGCTGTGCAGATGTCATCCATAAACATAAAGACATTATTTTAGTAGTGGACAACACCTTTATGTCAGCATATTTCCAGGTAAGCTGACTGGGTGTCTGAAATAATGGGAAAAAGGTTGGTACACAGGGATTTATTTATCTTTTTTTAATGACTTCTAATGGCAGAAGGGACGACCATGTGTGCTCTTGGCCTCTGGTTTGTTTTAAAGCTTTCACACTGAAAGTGTGATGCACAATTGGCTCTTTAACTAATACAGATCTGATCCAAAGCACTTTACGCCATTTAAAGAATGAATTGGAAAAAGAACCAGCTAACCATATAAAGATGTGAGATCTATTAAAACAAAGAGGCCAATTTAGTTAATGGTTGCACTAAATCAAAACAATTATCTAAGGTGAAGCTAATTTTCTACCTTCTCTAACTGTGACTTAACGTGACCTTTTAAATAGATTTTCTGATTTGGTTGCTTTTATAGTTAACTCCTCTTTAAATGGCTGAATTCGTCTCCTGTCTTGTTTGTTTTAATCTAGGACACCTTTCTGGGCCTTACACTGTGTTTTTAATTGTTTTCTTTTAAAAAATATAAATCTGTAATCTCATTTGATTTGGAGAACAAGTGAACAAAATATTTTAACACTATAACCTCAATGTATTTGAACGCAGCATCTTCGAAATATGGAAAAAACACTTTAACCTCTCAGCTACACAATCTTTAGTTATTATTTGTGGTAATTTAGAGCTTGTTATTTTGGCCACAGAAAGCTCCCCTATTTTTTCCATTTGTGCAGCAGGTAATACTTTTTCAAGTTAAAAAATTCTGAAGTATAGTGAATAAGATTCAGACAAAGTATAGTTTCCAGTTCATGCCAAGACTCACACATACACTTATCTGATTTAATGAAAATTAGATTAATTTACTACATTTTGGGAACAGGAATTGTCGTGTTTGGTTTGCTTTTTAATTTCTTCATAAATTTAGGAGGCGCTACAAAATAAAGAATTTGTATGTGATTAAAGTAGATCGGCACAAATACAAAGTTGTAAGATTTTGGCATTGTCAAGGTAATACCTCATTCTTCCTTTTAAGGCACTGGTTCATCAAAGCATATAAGCAAGTACTTAAAATTTAAGTGTGTGCTTTGCTGAATTGGGGCCCTAGTTTGAAAAAAGTTTAGTGATCTTTTTTCTAATTTGGCTCTGAGTTGCTTCTGCAAGACTCAATATGGAAATGTGTTGAAGGAGCAATATATGCAATAACTTGTCTAGTTAGTATGTCTGTTAACTTGATCACAAGAGAGAAAATCTATTTCAATGATTAACTCTGTAGGATTGTCTGACAAGTATTAAAAGGTAATGTATTAAACACTTGAAGGTTGCTACTGGGACACACGGCTAAGAGGATAACTATCCCCATGAATTTATTATTACTTTAATATGTTACATATTGAAGAAAGCACTAGTGCTTTAATTACTATTCCACTATTGAGAGATGACAGCAAGACCATACAAACTTCTGTACATAGTCTGACAGCAAGATTTTTCTACCTTTTTGTTCTGAATCTATTAACTACATTGGCCTTTTAACACACTGAACAAACACAGTATAAGTGTTAAAGAGTAATAATTTGCAGTCTATAATTTAGTGACTGATGTAAAATCAGATCATTTTTAGAGAAAGCAGCTGTTTCTCTTGTCACTGCCAATCACTCTTTCCTTAGAAGAGCAATTTGAAAACTTAAGCAAATGTGAAGAATTCTGTTTGTCAGTTGCTCCTGCTCTAAACTCTTCGATTTTCCTGTGGCAGTGTCATTAAGGTGAAAGACAAATCCAGACACAAATGTAAAAAAAATGCAATGAACAAATTGGCTTGGTTACCTGGGCCTTTCTTTGAAGAGGCTCAGGGTTTTGAGTGGTAGGGCAAGTTATTTTGTATGTGCAGTTAGCATTGATTAGGTTGTAAGCATGTTGAAGTGGTTACTATTCTGTACATGCCTATAAGCCATCTGGTAGGTGCAGTCTGTAAATGGAAATAAAATAATTTTAAAAACTAGGGGTAGGATTTTGAGAAGTGCTTTGCATTGCCTTAACTCTTCTCCCACTGAAGTCAGTAGGAGATAGACGTACTTTTGAAACTCCCAGCCTGTGTGTCTGTTACCTGAGTCTTTGGTTTTTTGATCACCAAATTTCTGCTTTTTGTGGGATGAGGTGAGAGTAGTTTGTGATTGAAAATGGTGAAAGAATGTTAAATCAGATCTTCTATGTTTGTTCCATTTTAGCGTCCTTTGTCTCTTGGGGCAGATATTTGTATGTATTCAGCAACCAAATACATGAATGGTAAGCGTCTGAATATTACATAGCTCAAATGTTCTCTTGGTTTTGTCTAAAACCAATAATAATTGCCATAAAACATCAGTTTCTATTGCTGCTTCATGCGCTTTGTTCTCCGTATCTGTCTAAAGAACCCTCAGAAATCCTTGCTATGAGGAAACCTATAAATAGGTGGTATTTCTACCCAGTTCTTGACCACAGCATACACACAACAGATATTGCCTAACTGATTTGCCTTTATTTAATTTAAAATAACAAAGCCCTAAAACAGGACTGTACTTTCAAACCTAAGCTCTTTCTTGAGCAAGTTGACTAGGATTTCTCCCTCCAGGACCTTCTTCTGTCTCTCTCTTGTCTGTGTTACCGAGAGCCATTGGTTGTAATGACCCTCAACTGTTTGAAAAGCACCTTATGTCCACGTGCAAAAATGCTGAGTGGAAGGCCAGAAGTGACTGGCGTTACCTCCTGAAATGTGTAGGGGTAAATAGTCAGTGGAAGCTTAATAAACTGGGTGCTACTTTAGGTGGGAAACACTTTCACAATAGATGGTGTGAACTCTGACTGCTGTCTTCCTTGATAGCTCTTAGCTCTGACAGCTCCCTCAGCCAGTGTATCCCTTTAGATCATGGATATCCCCTTCTAAATCCCCACCCCTCATTTACAAACCCTCTTCTCCCGGTCTGCAGGTCCTCACCTGGATTGCCAGCTATGCATCACTGACCCACACACCCACTATGTCCCCCAACAGTGTCCCGCTACCCCCACTCTGGCTGGGCCACTCCCCAGCCAGCAACTGCAGGCAGCTCAGTAAAGTGAGTGCATCAGTCAGATGGATTGCTGGTTGGGCCTGCAGTAGCTGATACAAAGCTGGTAGACAAACCCTCATCTACCGGGGGCATTACTGAAGGTGGGAGATGGTTTGTTTCACGGAGGAGAATGTACTCTGGCAATTTCAAGGGCTTCTCTGAGATAAAGAGATCAATCAGTAGTACAGCAAAGAGTCCTTTATATTCCTGAATGGAGCTAATGATCTGATTTCCCGGATGAGTCAGAAGAATAGCTCTGTACTTCCTTACAAGACCCGACAGCTTGTCACTCAAGTACATACAGGGTTACAAACACTCTATAAACCAAGGGTGAGCAAACTTTTTGGCCTGAGGGCCACGTCGGGGTTCCGAAACTGTATGGAGGACCGGGTAGGGAAGGCTGTGCATGTCAGTGCATAGATGATGGCAGCAGTGAGGAGAAATATCTGATGTCTTGAACTGCAAAAACAGAAAAGGATGTATGTAGTAGCAGGACCAAGAAAACAACCCCCCAACCCTTTATATATTGAAAGCTTCCTGACTACAAACAAGTTAAAATTTAATGCTCTTCTTTTATCTTCAGGGCACAGTGACGTTGTAATGGGATTGGTTTCAGTAAATTGTGATGATCTCTATGAAAGGCTCAAATTCTTACAAAATGGTAAGTAGCCAACACAGGAAATTCTTTAAAATTTATTGGATCCAGGTATGTCTGTACACAACAGAAAGCATGTGGTATATTTACATATGAAATCCATGTATCTAGGCTACAAATATGACCCAAGAGTTTAAATGGGATGGACTGTGGCCTAGTGTCCATAGCACTGGATTGGCACTCAGGAGATCTGGGTTCTATTCCTGTCTCTGCCACCTAGGGTGACCAGAGAGCAAATGTGAAAAATCGGGACGGGGGTGGAGGGTAATAGGAGTCTATATTAGAAAAAGACCCAAAAATCGTGACATCTGATCACACTACTGCCAGCAGCCTCCTAGGTAGACTTGAACAAGTCATGTTGCTGCTCTGTGCCTCAGTTTCCCAAGCAGTAAAATGGGGATAAATAATACTGACCTTTGTAAAGTGCTTTGAAATCTGCTGATGAAAAGCACTGTTTAATATGTTTATCACTATTTGCACTGCTTATACATGGAAAGATTTTCTTCTTATTTTCAAGTGTCAGAACAGAAAAACAGGAAACAAAGAAAGTGGTTAATTGTCCTTTTAATTATGCGGGCCTGGCTGGCCCAGGGGATTAGTAAAGGCTTCTATACAAGCCTCTGTTCCTTAGACCATGGGTGAGATCCTGCATTGAAATCAATGGGGCCAGGACTTCACCTCATGTGTTTAAATTCATCCCAAGTCATCTATTGGCCTATGTGAAATGAGTTGATAGTGTCAGTTTATTGCCAGGTGTCACAGCTCAGGGCAATTGCACCTGTATTCCCCCCTCTGTGATCCAGCAAGGGGGCCTACCCTCAGGCTTCCAGCTCCCTAGCCATTGTGTTATCCCTAGCAGAGGCTGTCCTTGCCTGCTTGCTTTCTCTACAGAGACTGATAAGCGTCATAAGTTATGACATAGCTCTTTCTGCGTAGCCTTTTTAATTTTTAAAGGTAAAAGGACTACAGACAAAACATATTAAAACCAATAAAAACGCATGGTACTAAGCTTATCAGTGATCATCCCCACCCTAATACGGGATGTTCAATACTCCACCCAAGGGGTTTCTTGTGGTTTCAAGTTAATCACAGCTTCAGCTCAGAACAGACACCCAGTTTAATGGTGCTTCAGTAGGCCAAGTCTTTCCAATTCATCCCTAAGGAAGAGGGCCCCTGTCCATTTGCTAGATCAGAAAGAAGGCCTTGAGCCAATTTGAAAGCAGGCTATTTATCCAAAAATCCTCTCTTTGTCCGTTGGTCTCATCTTTTGAACTAGTATATGTGCACCTTGCCAGGGGAGTGGCAACCCCCTCCGACTAGAAAAGGTACATGCAGTTCCATAACACACACAATTACATATTTAATACAATGGACCCTAATAGTATTAACCCCAATTCAATAAGGTTTAGCTTACTTTAAAATTTATCTTAATTCCATAAGGTTTGTCCAGGATATTGTCCTGTCACACAAAGGTGTTTGTGGTTTGGGTTTTTTTTTTTGGTTTTGACCCATCATAATTACCTTTTTAAGGGGACCAATTCAGCAGTGACCAAGGACTGAATATAGAAACTCCTTAAATGAGACTCAGATCCTGGAAAGACTTGCAAGACTTGGAAAGACATGCTTAATTTTTAGGCTCTGAGAGTAGTCCCACTGACATCCATGGGAGTACTCCGCATATAAAAATGGCATCGTACAGTAACTCCTCACTTAAAGTCGTCCTGCTTAACGTTGTTTCATTGTTACGTTGCTGATCAATTAGGGAACATACTCATTTAAAGTTGTGCAATGCTCCACTTTTATGTTGTTTGGCTGCCTGCTTTCTCCACAGCTGACAGCCTCCCTATGGCCCCCTCTCCTCCAGCGCCTCCCGCCCGCCAGCAGACTCTGCGGATCAGCGCCTTCTCCCTCCTCCTCCCCCCTGCCTGCGGCAATCAGCTGGCTTGTGGTGTTTTGGAGGCAGAAGGGAGGGGGGGAAGAGCGAGGACTTGGCGCACCGGCTCCCCTTCCCTCCCGAACGCAGCAAGCCAGCTGGCTTGCGGCTTTTAGAAGGGAGGGGGGAGGAGCCAGGAGGCAGCGAGTGAAGTAAAAGGGTAGGAGGAGAGAAGAGGCAGCTCAAGAGTGGGGGCTTGGGGGAAGGAGTGGAATGGGCAGGATGAAGGTTGAACTCCCCCTACCCCCCGGCCTCTGGTGCTTATATTGTTACATTTTTCAGGAACATAACTACAATGTTAAGTGAGGAGTTACTGTATGTCCTTTGCAGGATCAGGGTCCTAGATAGTTCCTGCCTGACAAAGCTTGCTATCTTAGGGCTGGTCCACACTAACCCCGCAGTTCGAACTAAGATATGCAACTTCAGCTACGTGAATAACGTAGCTGAAGTCGAAGTATCTTAGTTCGAACTACAAGGTACTTACCGCAGGTCCATATGCGGCAGGCAGGCTCTCCCGTCGACTCCGTGTACTCCTCTCGCGGAGCAGGAGTACCGGCATCGACAGCGAGCACTTCCGGGATCGATTTATCGCATCTAGACAAGACACGATAAATCGATCCCAGAAGATGGATTGCTTACCGCCGAACCCGGAGGTAAGTATAGACATACCCTTACTGTATGTTTGTACAGTGCCAACAGAATTGAACCTCTAGCCCCACTGTGCTACAAACCATTAATAACTGCCCTCATCTATTGGAGGTAGTCCTTTCAGATCAGGATTGGATTGAAGCAATATCTGTTCTGTGGAGAAACAGAGGACTTTTGGCTGCAGGGCTGTCAGGACAGTACCTTTCTAAACTTATTTAAGTATTTGTTTTCTCCCCCTTAACACCCTGCAAAATATCTCCTTACATGTATATAAGGAGGCATAATTAATAAAATATTTTATGTAGCTGGTGTCCATTTTTTGATTTGTTTTCCTTTAGACCCATGACCATATCACTCAGCGCGCGCATGTGATTTTTTTGTATGATAAATTGGGAATCTTGTTTTGGCAGCAGCATTTTTTGTCATCTGTGTATTTTTACAAATTCATTTTTATCCATTGAATAAAGAACACATGAGGCAGGGCGAATACAAAGTAAGTCTAAACAAAGTAATCTGAGGGAGTGCTGTATGTCTGATAAGATTCATCCCTGAGTCTTCAGTGTTTTAGCTCCTGCCTGACTCTCATATATTTTGGGGGGGGGGAGGGAGGAGGAAATATAAATATGTATTTTTCTCTCTCTCCCTTATCTTGTTTTAAAGTTAGAATATTTTTAGTCTGGTATCAAAGTACTATGTTTGAGTTTCCAGATATAGGGCCAAATTACACCCTGGTATAAACAGGCAAAGTTCCCATAGAAATAAGTGGGAATTGCATCTGTTAACATCAGGGGTTAGTTTGGAAAGTAAGACCTTCTTCAATAAGGCAGAAGAGGTTTTTTATATATTTGTAATATTGTGCTCTTTTATAGCCCTTGGAGCAGTTCCATCTCCTTTTGACTGTTACCTTTGCAATCGGGGTTTAAAGACACTGCAGATCCGGATGAAGCAGCATTTCTACAATGCACTGGCTGTTGCTCAGTACCTTGAATCAAATCCCCGGGTAGAAAAAGTCATTTATCCTGGTAAGTTGCAGGATTTCTGAAGAGAAGATATTTTGGTTCTGTCTGTTTGGTATAGAATGCTGCATTCCTAGGTGTTGCTGATACATCCATTGAATTTGATTTGTAAGTTTTACTCCGGCATATGCATTTATCTTGCAGTTGATTCTATGCTGCTTAACACTTGAAGGTTGTTTATGTGCCTTAGTGTGGCTTGCTCTTCTCTGATGCAATTTTAACAGACTGTATAAGCGGTTTTATTCAGAATGTGATTAATTTCAGGACTGCCCTCGCATCCTCAGCATGAGCTAATGAAGCGTCAGTCCACTGGCTGTCCTGGGATGGTCACCTTTTACATTAAAGGAAATCTTGAACATTCTGAAATCTTTCTCAAGAATTTAAAGGTAATTTCCCTTCAAATGAATGTAAACTAATTCTGTAAGAGAACCTGATTGTGACTCAGTTAGGGTTCTGAGTGAAAGAGGAAGTGGTTATCTTCAAAGCAAGGACTGTCTTCCTATGTGTTTGGGAAGCTTCTAATCTATTTGGGTAGTACCACAATCTAAATAATGGATAATTATGAGATGGCACAGTAATGAGAAGGAAGAAAAGGAATTATCCGCCCATTTGAAGTGTTTACAATCATAGCTGGGGCTTATATAGCTAGTTTAAACCATGTGTTGCTACTAAAAGTACACCCCTAGCCCGATATAACGCAACCCGATAGAACACAAATTTGGATATAACACGGTAAAGCAGTGCTCCGGGGGGGGGGGGGGGGGCTGTGCAGTCCGGTGGTCAAAGCAAGTTCAATATAACGCGGTTTCACCTATAACGCGGTAAGATTTTTTGGCTCCCGAGGACAGCGTTCTATCAGGGTAGAGGTGTATTTGCATATCTTCTGACAATTGTTAATGCAATTTGAAAGCAGAAAAGCTGTTTCTGATGTAACACTGCTAGAACATTTTAAAATACTTGACAATAGAAAATGCCTTTTGAGACTTCTTCATGATCCATATTCCAAAAGGAAGTGCTGCCTCTTTCTGGCAGATCACCTGACAGGTGTTCTCATAACATGAGCTTTGAAGCATTGTTTAGCTCCCTTTTTCTTAAACTTCATCATTTAACTTGTTCATGGCTATTGTTCTCTGGACACATTTTGGTAAATTTTTTAAAACCGAACCAATTAGTAGCTATATTGACAGTCAAATTAAGGATTTCTCTTCCTCCCATATCGTCCCACCACCACTAGCCCTCACTCCCCAAATAAAATCACAACTGAACTTTCACATAATCAAATAACATCCCACAAACAAAGGTTTGAGTACAAAAATGAGTCTTTCATCCTGCTCTGGAAGGTCAGCCATCTCTGTTTGTTTAATAGGGAGAAGCAAATTCCAGAATCAAGGATTCACCTCCCTGTGAGTGTTTTCACCTCCAGCACCTCAGTGTCCTGGCTAATCAGTTGTTGCGCTGATGCTTAAGGAAAGAGGTGTTTTGTAAACTAGACTGTCTGAGTATACAAGGAGTGGATTACTCCTGAATGCAGAAGAGGCAAGAGGAACAATAGCAGGCATGCTGATCCTGACAGCAGCTGCTACATCCTCAGCAGACACGCATCTAGAGTATATTTCTGAATGCAGCAGAGTATGTAGAGAGCATTTTGTCATCTAGTGCAAGAACATATCTATGATTAAAGATCAGTGATTAGTGAAGACCTTTAATGGGTGGTGGGCATTTCTCAAAGGATCAGCAATTGAATTCTGTTAAGTTTGGATTCTCCTCCAAATTTCTGGGTTTGCAAAATCATATGAGTAATCTTGTGAGAAGAGAATCTCATGACCTTTCTGCTTCTAGTAAGGCTGCAAACACAAGTAAAATACCTCTGAAACAGTGTTCCATCAGTTCTGCCCTTGATTGGGCCCAGAAAGTGTAGGGGTGCATGAAACCTGAAGAATTAATAGTTAGGACAGGAGAGGGATATGGTAAAGAGAGAGGAGGGAGTAATTTCAATTTAAAGTTTTTTAGTTCTGCTCTTATTTTTTTTCCAAAGAGATTCACCCCATCCCCACTCTGACTATACTCAAAACTCAGGGGTGCACCCTGGTTAGCCCTGACAAAAATTTCTCCCTTGAGTTGCTTTCTCTTCTTTAGGCAAGTTAAGGCTGATGTTTTCACACCCAGTAACATTTTGCTAGTAAACTACATACCAATTGTTTTTTCTTATTGCATCCAGTATTTTTTCCATGATATGGAAATTTTTTGTGGTTTTCTAGTTCAGCAAATTCCACTTCAAAATTAAGTAAATTATAAGACATAATTGCCTTTTCCTCTACAATGTAGCTATTTTAAATCCTCTTGCTTTTGTTTCAAATAAATAAACAAGCAGTTTTTCAAAGTGAACTTTTGTATTTCCTGCTATAGCTTTTCGCGCTGGCTGAAAGTCTGGGAGGATACGAAAGCCTAGCAGAACATCCGTAAGTCAGTCTTCTAGTAGTGATTTAAGATGAAACAATCCTTCAATTGCACATACTGTGGAAGAAAAGCTTCCGTTGGATTTTGTGGTCATCTTGAAACTGTGTAGTGTTTAAAATTTGAATGTTTCACTTTGTGACCAAGCACCATAGAGCTAATTTTTATATCATGCGAGCATTTTATGGCTAGTCAAGAAATGAGCAGTGATGTGATCTTATTTTAGAAATTTATACAATGGAAGACTCTTGCTTTGAATGGTACAGTATGCTGTCACCAAGACCTTCCCATGATTTCTTTACCTCCACTCCAGTCCCATAAAATGCCAGGTAAAAGGGTCACAATAGCATAAAGTAGCCCTAAAAGCCATGGTTCTGGCTAATGGAGAATTCCCCTATTTTAGGCATTGTGGAAGATGGCCATAAGGCTGCCTTCTAAGCAGTGGTGCAAGTAGAAATCATTTCTTGCCGGTACTTCACTCATAGGAGGGACGCAAGGGCGGCGGGGGAGATAAACAATATGACTTCCCCACCTGGCCCTCCATGTGTTAAACAAATGCAGTTATAAAATGATGCTTTAAGCCCCTGGTGCCACCTGTACTTCCGGGTGTCATTGAGGATCCAACAGCACCCCATGTTGAAAACTTTTTAAATGAAAGGATAGGAAGGATGATCACCCCACTTTCCTTTAACACACTATCAGTGCCTCCCTTATGTCCAAACTAAGCTTCTGCCAGCTTGCCTTTATCTAAGTATTGCTCTCCGCCAGGCACTGGGAAAGCAAGATGCTGCGCCATCTGGGTTTGATGGAAAAGAGGCATAGAACTGTTTGTGCCATGTGCATCTTGATAAAACAATTTGGGCTGTAGTTCTATTATTTTCCTCAGCATGACATACAGGAGGGGCAATCAAAATCAGCCTGGCAGAACATACATGAGAAATATCTCTGGACAGATAAGCAATTGATCAAAATCAAATTCTCTGATCTCTTGGGGCCAAATCCTGTTCCGTTGAAATCAAAAGGAGTTTTGCTATTGAGTTCAATGGGAACAGGCTTTGACATTTGGAGAGGAAAGAACAAAACCACTCAAGCAAGAGCTATGTTGCTTATACCACAGGCATCAAAGGCTGCTGACTCATGTGAGAAAGTCAGCAGACATCTGATCTTTGTCCATTGCAAGGCAAGGGAGAAATCAGCAATCAGTGAGGCTAGAACAGTCTCTGTACCATATCCAACTCATAAGTCCACCTGCAAAGGATCAAGGAATATCAAGGCTCCAGATTACCTTGAAGTCCCCTCAGTCCCTTGGTCAGAACGCTCCCATTAGGATATGTTCATTGTCCAGAGGCTGGAGCAGGAAAGAAGCAAAATGGAGATGTTTCCAGGAGTTAATGAGCCGTTCAACTTGACTTGTCCCTTCATGTGCTGGCTAAATAATTTGTGGGCATTACCACAGGAGCAAACATGTAGTAAACATATCTGAATTTATGAATATTAGCTACCAAGATGAATATACATGCTGTGACAAAGTTACTCCTCTAGCTTGGTGGGTCCTGCGCTTATTGGCAGATTTTCTTGCCTCAGAGATTCACCATGGGGGTTGGGGAACAGTCCAGAGACCTTCCCCTCTGGAAGAGCCCACAGTCCAGGTCAATTGGGAGGTTTGGGGGGAACCCGGGCCCACCCTCTACTCTGGGTTCCAGCCCAGGGCCCTATGGACTGCAGCTGTCTATAGTGCCTCCTGTAACAGCTGCATGACAGCTACAACTCCCTGGGCTACTTCCCCATGGCCTCCTCCAAATACCTTCCTTATTTTCACGACAGGACTTTCCTCCTGGTGTCTGATAACGCTTGTGCTCCTCAGTCCTCCAGCAGCACTCCCACTCCCTCTCAGCTCCTTGCACCTCTTGCTCCCAGCTCCTCACACTCACACACTACAAACTGAAGTGAGCTCCTTTTTAAAACCCAGGTGCCCTGATTAGCCTGCCTTAATTGATTCTAGAAGCTTCTTCTTAATTGGCTCCAGGTGTCCTAATTAGCCTGCTTGCCTTAACTGGTTCTAGCAGGTTCCTGATTACTCTAGTGCAGCCCCTGCTCTGGTCACTCAGGGAACAGAAAACTACTCATCCAGTGACCAGTATATTTGCCCTCTACCAGACTCCTGTACCCCACTGGTCTGGGTCTGTCACAATGCATAGAAATAGCATAATCATAAGTACCAGCTATTTCATGTACATGACTACAAGAGATTCTGAAAAATCACATCACATACCTGAGACCCTCTGTGCCAGCACCATGCCCCACTGGAGTTTTGTTCTCTGTAGAGATGGAGCCAGTGATATGACTGTTTAGCCTAAAAGGGCAAGGTTAATTTTTAGCTGTGAATGAGCCTTTGAGCCTAGTCAGTGACGGCATACTGGCACACATTCAGGTTAATGGGCTTCAGTGTTCCTTTGCAGTTCCCAGGTTTATGGACATTAAAAAGTTATGTGATGAGGTGGTTTAAAGCATAACACAGGTTTTTAGGTTTGCAAATCTGTGAACCTCTGCCTCTTTGAGATTCTTTTATTTATTGCTGGTCATATCCTCCCACATTATCCTCTCCACCCTTTGCTCATGAGGTTATGTATGTGTCTTGTAGCACTCTTCTGAACACTAGTTGGAAGGTATTTTTTTTTTTTTTAGTAAGTGTGGACTGATTCTTTTCTCTTAGAAGGCATTTAATTTTTTCAGGTACACACTGATTAACACAGAAAACAATTGTGTCTGTTAATTTTCTATGGAATTTGAAGAAAGTTTAAGTTCAACTATATTTTCCAGTGCAGTGCTGAAATGGGTGTTTTGTATATATGAACATGCTTAACTCCACACTTTCCCCCCCCAAATATGTAGTATTCAGTCTGTTTATATGGAATCTGAGGACTCATGACCAACATAAAACAGAACTACATATGCTAATAAACTTAAACAAAACCTTTGTTTAAGTTTGTTAGCATATGGATTGTGCTGTTAAAGCCCTAAGAATGAATGCCCTCCCTAGCCCAAAAGGAGCAGAGTGCAGCCTTGCACCACTCCCCCCCCCCC